CGGTATGAGCAATGCTAAAGCTATTGGCACACCAATGAGTCCTTCAACAAGCCTTGACAAAGATCAATAGGGAAGTCCTGTTGATGAAACTAAGTATCGTGGAATGATTGGCTCACTTCTTTATTTAACTGCCAGTCGACCGGATATTATGTTTAGTGTATGTAAATGTGCCAGATTTCAGTCAGCTCCTAAAGAATCACATCTGACTGCAGTAAACAGAATTATTTGATACCTTATTGGAACTATCTCTCATGGTCTATGGTATCCTTGTTCTAACATGTTTAAATTAGAAGGTTTTTCAGATGTTGATCTTGCAGGTGATAAGGAAGACAGAAAAAGCACAAGTGGAACATGTCAATTACTTGGCAAAGCATTGATATCTTGGAACAGTAAAAAAACAAGGATCAGTTGCACTATCCATGACTGAAGCTGAATACATCGCTAGTGGAGAATGTTGTGCACAATTATTATGGATGTCTCATCAACTTGGTGACTATGAATTATCTTTTAAGCCTATACCAATTTTCTGTGATAATTCTAGTGCTATATGTCTCTCTAAAATCCATGTGCATCATTCCAGGGCAAAGCATATAGACATCAAGCATCATTTTATTAGAGATCATGTTCTTAAGGGAAACATAGAAATATCTTTTGTTGGAACCACTGATCAATTAGCTGATATTTTTACTAAGCTCTTATTAGAAGAGAGAGATTTTGCTCTCTAAGAGAATTACTTGGCATTATTTGCATTAATAATTGATGTTAGCACCTATGTGCTATTTTCTTTCTTGTATGCCTAATGTTTTTTTCTTAATCATTAATTGCGCCCAGTTTCCCTCTCTTTTCTCTCTTTTCACATCAGTTGTAGAGCTCAAAGAAGGAAAGCCAATCATCACGTCTGATCAATTGGCGCCTTTTCCTTTTTCTGTACTCAACCGTCAGAAATCCTCTTTTTTATGCTAAAACCTCTTGTCAACCCCATCGTCCCTATCACCTAGAAACCCTTCTCAGAAACTCTGCCCAAACACAAACTCTTCAATGGCCAAACACCCCAAAAATCCCTCTGCCTCCACTAGAAAGAGTACTCGCTCAAGAGCAAAACCCCATTCTCCGCCCCCAAAACCTGTAGACCTAGGGTCCGACCATTATGAAGGTTTTGCCTCTTCTCAGGCCGATTTGTCTGATCATTCGCAACCCTTAGGAGAAATGGATTTGGGAAGGCGTCCTATGGAAGAACCCCTTGTTTCCTTCACTCCAAAGAAGCCTAAAATAGATCTTTCTAGTTCTCTAGAATCAGGCCTAAATTTTTTGGATTCTCCAAATAGGGAATTCTTCATTGCCCTGAAAGACAAGTCTATTGCTCATGGGAGGGTGCCGACCTTGATGTTATGGAAGCCCTAAATTGTAAGGTAAAAGATCTTTTCGTTTATCAAGGGTGGTCAAAGTTCTTTTCTGTTCCTCCGCCTAAAGTCTATGAACCCCTAGTGAGAATGTTCTATGCAGACCTTCGCTCTAGTAAGCCTGATAAATTGGAGTTTTAAGTGTTAGGAAAGCGTATTATTCTTGACTGTGCCATGTTTGATTCAATCTTTCAGTGTAAGTGCTCTAGTTTCCCCATGCTTTTAAAAAATTTGTGGCCCAATGATTTTGAAATCTCTTATGATCAAGCAAAAAGGTGTATTGCTGAGTGTCCATCTGAGTCTCTCCCAAACCAGTTAGGACGTAGTGATGCTAATTTCGAAACTCAAGTTCTAGCCCACATTGTTCCAACCACTCTGCTTCGTACTGGCTCTTTCTCCTCCTTCTCTCTCAGAGACACTTTTCTTGTCTATTGTCTTGTGACTAAACTCAAAATCAAGTTGTCCTCCTAGGTCATCAATTTTATGATTGAAAGTGCAGAAGATCTCACTATTCTACCCTATAGTATGGCCATCACTCACACCCTGAAAGCCCACAATATTTCTATATCTACATATCCCTTTATCTCTATTTCGAAATCTTACAATGCGAGTATGGGTGTGTGTGTGTGAATGGCTCATGGGTTAAGAAACAAGAAAGAGAAGTAAAGCATGCTCAAACAGATTCCAAACCCAAACCTTCTGTTTCCCATCCTAGCCTCATTGACCCTGACCTTGCTGAAAAACTTAGTGCCATTGACAATCAGCTATCTGTAATCAAGGATCTTCTCTCTGCCACTCAGTCCATTGTTGGTGACATTCATGCTATCTCCAAAGAAACAGGGCTGATGTTTCCAAGATCAGAGTTGCAGTTCTCAGAGTAAGGGAAAACGTTGTCAAGGCATTCAAGGAGGTTCATGACAAGCTTGATGGAATGAGTGTTTCAACCAATGCTAGTTTTTATCAACCGAAGGAGGCGATCTGTAATACTGTTACCTATTTTCTTCGTCGTTAATGTGGAAGTTTAAGCAATGTTTCTTTTGCTGTGCTATTTTGGGCTGAAAATCATTGGGTGGACAATTTTTTTTGTGTTTTCCTTTGGTTTGCTTCTAACTTTGCCAGTATATCATGCTATAAATCCTGTTTTAGTATGTGTTTTTGCTTTTACTATTTCCCCTCTTTTGCTTGAT